AATTTTAGTTCTTAAATTCATCAATCAATCCTTTTATTTATGTGATAGGCCTGCATTTGAAATGAACATTTACCATAAATTAAAGGTATCTTATATTATTAGATATATTATTATAAAACATGCTTTAGTTAAGGAGTTATTGATACTTTAAGTGCAAAATGATGATATAAAACCTTGATAAAAATACACTTTTAAGTATCAATCAATGACCCTTATTTATTCAAGTATTGTCCTGATCAAATATTTCGAAGATACATTCCTGATAATGAGGTAAGTAGTGTCATTAAATTTTATCATTCCTGATAATACTTCTCATTCATGAATCAATATTCATTGGTTGGTGGTTTTTTGTTTCCAATAGTATTGATGCCTAGTTACAAATTATCTTTGTGTCCCACTCTTATCAAACCTATCAAACTTGATTTATTTGGCTTTCTGATAATTAGTGTCTTTACTTATAGGTTGTGTGGCCACGTGATCACAAGGTTCACATCATCTAGTATCAGAGCTTGGCTTCATTAATCAAGTTATATTCATATGAAAAAAAAATTTCTTGTTGATTCCGTAGAAATTCCTTATTACCCAATTTCTTTTACTTGAATTTGCAGCATATAAAAAAATTATTATTTTATTTTGTTATTGTTAAAAATATATTGGTAGCACCAAAAACAAAAAAAAATAGAGAAAATAGAAAAGAAAAAAGTCATTAAAAAAGATTTTTATTGGTTTCTGCCACAGAAAAACTAAGGGAAAATTAGATCAAGTCAACTCGGAATTAGGTCAAATGTGATACTCTGATTTACGCGGTCCTTATTGGATGTGATATAAATTTAATGGTCAATTGGATATCATTTGCTTTGGTGTTCAATTTCAAGTCCAATCAGGTCTCGTATATTTTAAAGGAAAACGATACAAAGATTATAAGGGGCATACCCCAGATTTACAATGAGAACAGAAACGTAAAACAACAGATGGCTACATGCTAGCCACCGAACTGAAAACTCAAGACCTAACTTGATTCGTTAGGGAAACCAATACAACCAGCTAAATATCAAATGAAGAATCTATGTTATTGACCCTCCAAGCTCTCTGGATCATTTTGTTTTCATTTGTTGGTATTCTGGATCATTTTGTTTTCATCTGTTGGTATAACGTTCTGGTAGAACGTTCCTCATCAAATCAAGCTTATCACGGATGATACATTCAATTTGATGAAAGACCAAATTCTGAGTTCTAGATATTCCAGCAAAGGTCCTTGCATTCCTTTCTTGCCAGATATGATACACTGTAGCTGCAAAACTGAGTTTACGAGAAAAATTGACGAAACTTTTGCCATGCCAAGTGACAGTGGTCCATCGAATCCATTCATCCCATCCTTTTGTCATTCTTGGAATGTTGCATCTGTCACAAACATCCCACCAGATCGCTTTAGTGTAGGAGCATTTAAAGAACAAGTGGTTGTGATCTTCGTTGTTGCGGAGACAGAGTGAGCATCTATTGGGACCATGTATACCAAATCGATGAAGTCTATCTTGAGTTATGATAGCCTTTCATGAGTTCCTGAGATAAAAGAATGTTGTCGCTGATTCTCCATCTAGAGATAAAAGCAGTCTGATACGGACCGACTAAGGATGGCAAAGTAGTGTCATTATCTCCCACCTTGTTGATTGGAACAAAGATCCATTCTATCAATGTTTCGAGAAGGTTGGAAGGAACAACATATTCAGAAATGAGGACGATCCAACGATGGACGGAGTAAATCTAACTCTGACAGTTTGATCTCTAATCTCTCTCTCTCTCCAGGAAGATTGCCAAGTCTAATCAGGTCTTATTTATAACGTTTTCACTTTAGTATATCAAACCTTAGCATAAATTGCTTAAAATTTATATTTTATCTATTTGGGTTGATGGTGCTTTATATGTGAAATTGTAGCTCAATTGAGGTCATTTGTTTTAAGTTCCAGATTCAAGCTTAACTCATCGTAAAAAAATCTATTTTGCGCGAACTTTTGAAATTTCATTTATTTTCATTCCTTTCATTTCTTCTAGTATATGTTCAACATATCCAACATTTTTGGGTGTTGTTTCATTGTTTTGCATATTTTGTTTCTATTTTTATTCAAGTCTTAAGTATCGTTCATATAGATTCCCTTGCTAGTTACGAGACTATCATCGTAGTCCTTTATTTGCTTGTTTTCTAGTTTTTTATTGCATTTTGAGTCATATATACATATTTGGATTATGTTGTTAAGTTGGTTCTATTTGGTGTTAATTTCAATTATGCAAGAACCACAAGAAGGTGAGACGAGAGGTATGAGCGTTTGAGGATAATAAGATGTTTGTGTGAAACACAAGTGATATGAGGACATTGTTTTTACCACAAACCAATTTTTACAGGTACTATCATGTCAGATTAAAACACAACGCCACCCCATCCTGAGGCACCAACACTATTGGACTGAGTAGAATGATGTCACGAAGTTAGTTAATCTTCAGTAACTCAGATTCAGTTCATTCAAGAACTGAAGAATGCAAGAATCACTCTCACATGTTAAAAAGGAAAAATTCAGAAATAATTATCATTAAAGCTGCTGAAATTATGGCTTACATAAGTTTAAATAGTTCTTGAAAAATTAACCCTAATGGACCCCTTATGTGAACTTATATAAGGTCCACTAAAAAAACTAACAAAAAAATCCTAAACTAAAAAAAAAACCCATAACTTAATCCAAACAAGTCTTGGATCCTAATTGAAAGTAAAGTATTAATTAAGCTCAAATAAGCCTTGGGTTGTTGCTAACAAAATAAAATAAAGCCCTTAATTCATGTTTTGCCATAAGAAGAAGAGAAGGAAGTAAAATATTACATAACTGATTCAATGCAGCCCCTTAATCCTAGAAACAAAAGGAAAAGGTAGCCACCCATGTTGTTTCCAAGTTGTAGTAGCATTCTTTTGTTTCCTTTGTTGTTCTCACCTTATGGCCCAAATAAGGTTATATTGGACCCCTCTTAATATTCTAATGGACCTTTCAATTTTGACTTGGTTGAATCATTTAAAAATAACACGACCAAAACATTGATGTCTTCTTCCAAGTACAAGAGTGTCAAAGTAATAAATAATCCGGCAAGACCGGGGTCGAATTACATGGAGGTTAATTGTATAAATTATAAATGACAATAATACAACAATAATAAAAATAACAACAATAATAATAGTAGTAGTAGTAGTAGTAATACTAATAATAATAATAATAAAGAAGAAGAAGGAGAAGGAGAAGATGAGAACTTTTAGATGGAAAACATGAAAGTTGTAGGAAATTGTCTCTACTTTGTTGTGTGAAAATTAAGGTCATTTGAACTTCTAGAACTCCAGATATGGGCCAAATACTGAACAGTGTT